AGAAGCTGCGATTTGCTATCTACAGGAGATAGCGTAAGAGATTACGTTTTTGATAGAGTGGAACGAAACTATGAAAGCGTGTGTCCTGTCCACTCCGTGTTACTTTTCGGTAAACCCTCGTCTGGATACAGCCATCTGGGCGTGTAGTCAGACGTGCACCTCCAAACGGGAGACAAACATTCTCCTCTTTACTGTTCAGTCGTGAGTTTGAATGACGAATGTGCCGTACAAGACTCATCCACTTTTCTATTTGACCAGACCGAAGTTTGTGATTGTAAATGCTTGAAAATGGATTCACCGGAAAGAGGGGGAACCGATAAAAACGAAAATATACTAAAAAAACACTCACGGACTGGATTGAAGACAACAAGCAGGCGTATCGGACACATGGCGGTCGAATTCGAGCTGTTCACAGTTCCCTGAGTTCCCCCAACACTACCGGACGAGCCGAGCTGATCCGAGCCGATCAACGCGGTGGTTGTACCGGTACCAGTCAGTGATCGACTGGATTGGATAAGCTGGATCACTTCGTGCGGGGTCAAATGTTCGACTGAGCGACCGTTCACGGCCAACAGTTGGTCCGCTCGACGCAAATGCGATCGGGATGAGGCGAGGGTGGATGAGGAGAATGAGGCAGGGCTCTGATGACTGCACGCAACCGAGGAACAGTTGGACAGACAGCTGAACGAGCCCATGGTGCCGAGGAAACGTGGATCAACCTTTGGGTTTAAAAATTATGTACACGAGATGGGATCAGAATCGAGGGGGTCTGAGTGCTTGATCGCGATAGACTGTCGAGAGGTGCCTGTTAGACGATCATTTAGATAGATCTCAAACATTCAACTGTTGAGGAAATTCCAAAGATTAGCACAAACATACAGTGCGACAGGTCCCCTGTTTGGTTGTCAATGAAAAAGGTCTTTTTAGAAACTCGAAACATTCGGTCCCTTTTTTCCGATACGTTAGAACAGAGAGAAGACAAATACTCCAATAAGTTAACATTTCTTTTAATCTCTTCAGTCGCTACCAGGTAAAACAATCTGGTATTTGTACAAGAAAGCTTTCACAACCATTGTGGTTTAACGGACAACAGTCAGGGAAGTGGGTGGGTGAGTGGAATCAGTACCACGGTAATTTGACTGATTGCGTCAGAAACGTTGGTGTGCACAAAAATGGTTTGTGTAACTTGGTTAGTATCGCTTTGCTGGACGCCAAGAGCCTGGGATTCATGTTACTTAATAACGGCTTGAACGACAAAAGTGGGTCAACGATATGTCCAGTTTTCACGACATGTCTACGATTGATGACCCTGAAATTCTTTTATCACAGTGACTTCTAAGACTAAAACACTACATGGATTAAACGCTTTACAGTCCTTTATGTGCAAGAACAATGCCTCCTACTAGGTCCGCGATTGATCTACGGTAGGGTCTATGCGACGCATGAGGGGCTTGCTTTTACAATATAAGGTTTGAATGAATAATGCCCGAATTGTAATGAGTGAAGAAATGGCTCGTTGGAGGTTAGCTGTTTGTGTCGGGATAGATAGGTGCAATAGAGTACTCTTGGATTAGTTTCCGTCTGTGGAATAGTTCGTTTAACGGAAAGAGTGATATTTTGTAATTCTGGTCAATTACCTGTGACGGCACCGCGTCGTTACCATAACGACCGATCAATATATGATGGGCATTGGAAATGATGTGCTCCATAGTCACAAGGATCGTTCTGCTCGGCTCAGGAAAACGGCAAAGTGCTGGAGACTTGGAGTGGTCAATCTGACTATATAATGTTTGATAATTACTGATGCAACTGTATACGAGTATTTTACAGACCCTACTGGAGAGCAAAATCAGCGTTTAACGAGCTCACACTGTCAAATAGCGCGACACAAGCCACATTCATGTTATTCATGATCTAAACCTCGACAATGAGCAGATCGCCAAAACAAAACTACGAAGCACCTACGGTAAACTAGACACTGCTCAGACCAAGGGTATTGATCCTCAAGTTGGGTCCAACTGAACAAGCCTTCCTGACATATCAGGTACCTCAAATGAATAACGATTTCTAAGATATGTGATGTCTCCGCGGGTTGGGGTGATATGGGAGCTTTGTCCGATGGGTTTGAATGGAAGGCAGAGAATTTTCGTCCATGCAATACCTAGACTAACTTGGGTAATGTGTGGACATTAATTATCTCATTACAGGAATAACAGCAAGAAGCGAGAATCTACTAACAGACGGATGTACAAATCAAGCATTTTCCCTGTGTACGGAGCTCGTTGCGTACAGTAAGCATGCAGTCGGAAGCAATCAGAGCGGAACGGTTGGATTGCACCACTCGATATGAACACTCTCTAGCCAGTGAGATTCGTGATATGCCCCAAATAGTACTGAGATTCATTCCCAGCTCCATATGGTATTGTGCGGAATAGGGAGGACATTTATCTTATGTTTGAATTGTGAAAAAGATCAGCAGCCTAGGAGATTCGAACCCACGAATGGACGCCGCTCAGTTGGCACAGAGCGTAGGTGAGAGTTCAAATCCCACAGAGGTTACTGATCCATTCACAATCCAAATATAAGAGAGTTAGCTTACCTCTATCTCTCTCCTGCCCGCCGTATGCATTACTGCGCATACGTATAGCATGTAATTGAGTAGTTCGGGTATTTGTGGTATCGCTAATCACATGCATGGACATAGATAATGTTCCCATTCTTTTGGACAGGTTAGTGTAGTAGGTATCCCACGAGCAGACAAAACATACACAGACACAATATTCCGAGGATTACCACTCGCAACCGGTTGAACACGATTGATATCCCGAAAAACCCGCCCACGGATAGGCAATAATTTGTTCAATAAAATGAGAATGAATCTAAATACCTGACTGACAAATATGCCCCATCCGTCTTGACCACCGATAAGACTGAACGGTAGTTTGCCTGACGAGGGTGATGATCCGGCAGAGACGGGAGGCAACTCAAAATCCACTTGACGTACGCGAGCTTTCGTGCTACAGGCAAGTTGGAACAGACGTCGTTCTCCGGCTAATTGCAATCCAATTGAAAAATGTGACCGGGGTGAGGCGGGAGGTGGTGGTGGGGAAGAAAAGCATTGATTGAGAGTCCGTAACCGGAGCGGAGGCAGAGCGTTACACACGTGGAGCAACGAGAAAATTGGTAACTTTAGTGCAACGGCGTGTGCAGATGAACTTCAAACCTGAACAAGTACTGAATGTAGTTATGAACAAGAAGGTAAAAACCCCAGACAGGGTTTCTTAAACGAATGATTAGATTGAGAAGCAATAAAGTGTGCCCCCGCTTTGTTCGTAGCTTGAAACTAAACAATACGATCATGTTGAACTAAAAAAATATACACGTTTTGCGCGACCAGCGCGCAAGCAATTCCAAGCACCCTTAAGTCTTGATTACAATCGTTTGACTATCTCTCTGTCTCTGATTAATCGCGGAGGAAAACACGAGAAAGAAAGAAAAAATGGACAGATTTAAAAAAATCAAGATAAGGAAGGAAAAAGAAACGAAAGTAAGTAGATACATAACAGCCACGGATTACGACATCCATCCATATGATCTGTCATATTCAACTACTGATTCAGAGGATCGTAACTCGGATGTTAAAACGACCCATCTGAATCGGGTAATCAATGGAATTCCCCGATTTTCGATAGCATGTTCTCCATGCAGGCAGCCTTGATGTCGTCCAGTTCAATACCACGCCTAACCTAGTGGGGCCTCATAGGATTCACCACTTCAGGTCCCGGGGCTTAGGTTACCGGTTTCCATCACTGAACGGCAGGTCCTCGTGACTATGGAATTTACTCCGTCTGCTGTTCATCACACGAAAGTATGTAATAAAAAAGGTGCTAGAAATATCAGAAAACATTGAGTCGTGCACAAAAAGTGACCACCTCTTGGTTGTAACAGTGTCATCAGTCTGTTGTATGCATTGTGACACCCATCGATTGCAACACATCAGTACTCAACTCGATTCGAACCACTGATGTTTGACATCTAGTCAAACGAACACGAACGATATATACTCGCCTCTCTCCGTATGGCGTATGAAAACATGCTAGTACAATGTACTTGAAAACAAAGATAACCAGTAGCGAAATCAGTACTTCGCCGTGTTTGTTCAAGCTCTCCTCCAATCAAGATCATTTTAGTTTTTTTATCAGCCGGATATCATACTTCCGAGATCGGTCTTGATCTATGATTTAATTTCGCTCCCCAAAATAGAAAAAAAGACCGTTCTGAAAATGCAGCTTAAACACTGCCTGTGGAAGGATACTCATCGTCTAAAATGCGTTCTTCGATAAACGTTTTCTTTTGCTAAAAAAAACACCCTTTCTCAAAATATGCGAATGGGGAAATAGACAAATCTGAGTCGTACTCTCCGTCCATGTGTGTGTATCGTTAAATAAGAATCTATGATATGAACCTCCACCCGAAGGTAAACTGTTCTAAATCGTCTCGGACATTTGTAAAAATCGCTGACCGGACTTCAGACTCCAACACCATATTCATTGTTCACTACTGAACCTGATCTATTCGTGGTCCGTTCACAAATTTCATTCTGGACAACCATTATCCATACCGTGCCGTGCCATACTATGCCCCGGTTTTGGTTGCTGTCTCATGATTGACCATTTCGCTGAAGGAGTAAACAGGAGATCAGATTGTTCAAATCAGTATCAGGGGGAAAATAGGGAATTCCTGAAGATTAGATTTGCAAGGTCATTGATTGGATTCACGAACACCACTGTTTACTGCACTCAGACGTGTCTCTCATTGTTTCCAACAATCGATTATCCTGATCTCCAGGTCCTCAACCAAGAAGCCTGACGCTACCTATATGAGCCAGTTTCGTGGTCAGAGTTTTCATACCCTCATGCCAGAACTTAAGTCGATCCC